ATTTCGTCACAATATATTAAATAAAAAAACTTACAACAGAAATTGTAATTATCTTGTTGCTGCCTAATGTTCACTTATATTTTCTAATTTAAGTGACACAACCCTTGGCCTAATTATCTGTTCATAAATACTTACTTTACCAATACGGAAATGATTATCCAACAAACTTTAACCACTAGCTAAATCATGAGCCTCTTAATATATAGAACACAAATTTGATTTTTATTTCTTTTGAAATATTTATAAAATTGAAAGCAACTAGAAGAAAAATCTATCACCACACACACAAAAAAAAAAAAATAGGTAGGGTGAGCTAGCCTACAAGTTGAGCTAACTAATGGTGCTTGAAACGTAATAAGATGTTATATTTGGTAATATTCCCATGGTTTTATTTATATGTACGCATTACAATACTTTAGCAAAGAATCACGACAACGCGTGTTTGATGGCGGGATGAGAAATAAGTTATTTATATATTAATTTTTATGTAATTTACATGAAGTTTGGTAGGTAAATAGAAAATAAATTATTCATGTAAAAGATTAATATATGTATAAGTGTTAAATTGGGTCTTAGACCTAACTCACACCCCAAAATTTAACTCAAAGGGTGGAGAATTATTCAAGTCCTTATAAGAATTTCACCCATCTCATTAACCATCAATATGAAACCTTTTTTTTGCTTTCACACTCCACCTCACGCCCAGTGCATCACATCGATACGTGAGCAATTTTGGGTAATTTTGAGTTTTGACCCACTTCACGACCAGTTCTTATATAACATCTGGTGCGAGGACAATTTCGGACAATATTTGATTTTTTAGGCCCTAACATTGGGTAAGGTAGATCCTGATATCATGTTAAATTAGGACGTAGGACTAACTTAAACCCGAAAAGATAGCTCAAAGGGAGAAAGATTATTCAAACCCTTATTAGGAGTCTACGCATCTCATTACCACCAATATGAGACTATTTTTTATTCAGTAATAAGTTATAAGGAAATCTATATATTATATATACATGGAAGATAGAATGTAAAACAATTAATGCATGTATAATTTGTTATTCATAACTAATACCTGCATAAAATAATACTATATAGAGAGAGAGATTTTCTCATAACTAATTCCTACATTACCCATACAACTATACTTATATAACTATAAAGTACTTTTAATTTTTAAAAAAATTTAAATAAACTGTCCTCAAAAATATTCCTCCCGAATATATTTGTTGTTAGGCCTTTGTCCATCATTGTTAACAAGGTCAACCTCCCGTCAACAAGCCGTCTAGGACAATTTATAAAAAGTATATATGACCAAGTCTGGTATTTTTCCAAATAACCAAAAAGAAAGAAAATAAATATAATACATAATAATAGGAAATAAAATTAAAAAAAATACTATACAAAATAAAAATTTACACCTCGTAACTTAATATATACAGTATTATATAACATTATAACGAATGTTAAAATCATTATAAAATATTACTTGTGTGAAGCTTATTTTATAAATCTTCATATGAAAAATCATATTTTTCGATATATTAATCAATTAAATCTGGAAAAATTAAAAAACATTTTTCTCTATACCAAACACGTCCTTAATTGTCCTTTTTTTTGCTCTTTACTTCTCCTTTGGGTTCCCCTTGTGGTAGGTAAAAGGAAATTTAGCAATCAAACAGTATGTGATCTGTGGGGTTACAAACTTATATTAAAGTCAGCTAGCATTATCACTATTTGAAAGAATTTATTACATGGTTGGTGTAGCTATATATTTTACATGATTTTTCTTATTATATAATAAAAAAACAAAAAAACTTTACCCTTTGACTACATTTTAGTTTGCTTTTCTCTTTGAACACACAACCACATATTAGAAGCTTCTAATTGATTTGGTATAATATAATATAAGCTATAAAATTTTACAAACGGTTCATAATATTAGTGGACACCCATTCCTATATAATAGACCTAAAGACTTTGAAGAGAAAATTAGATTATAATTAAGTCGAAATTTCTCCGGTCGTAGTTATAGATTCTTTTATTTTTAGTTTTTGGAAATAGAGAAAATCTAAATATAAGTATCGCTTTCAGAAATAAACTTTATTATATGCTAATTTAAATTTTGCGAGAAATAAAATTTACAAAAAATATCTGAATCAAATAGGAAAGCAATAAAATCTTTTCTAGTTGCAGCTAAAATTGATTCTTTTTATTGGTGTTATAGAGGTTTTAACCAAACTAAGACATTATATAAAGCAATTCACCAAAATAATATGTTTTTCTAAAATTTTACAAAACTAGTATAAACGTATTCCATAGTAACGTTTTATGATATATTTTATTTTTTAAAAGTTGATGGTGTTAGATTGATATACGTTACTCACAGTAACGTTTTAGGAGTAAAACGTTACTGAAAATAACGTTTTAAAAGTAAAACGTTACTTACAATAACGTATATCAACCTAATGCTGTTAGTTTTTTAAAAATAAAATATACTCTAAAAGGTTACCGTGAAATACGTTATACTAGTTTTGTAAAATTTTTGAAAAACGTATTACTTTAGTAAATTATTTTATATAATGACTTAGTTTGGTTAAAAATTCTATTTATAGTGTGCAAAAGGGACGGTGACTAAATTTGTCCTCAGTTAATGTTACTCCGAAAAAAAAAACCTTTATATATCTACTAACGATAAAAGTTTTTCGTTGCATAAAACTTTTTTACAAGAAAAATAATTAAAATTTACTTTTGAATTATGTGATATTAAATAATATGCACGATAGAAGGTGAATCAATTGTCCTTGGAAACTTGTACCATAATGAAACTTTGAAATATTTTGTTGAAAATATATGAAACTCTTGGTTATAAATCATACTTTTAATATGATCATATTATAATATATTAAAATATTACAGTTCATATCTTTTAAATATTGGATAAAACAACTAGTTATCCAGTTGGAGAAAAAAAAATACTTATGTGACTCACAAGTGACTGAGGAGTCAATACTCCAGAACTATGTTATCCAATCAAGAAATATCCATCACATATTATCTTAACTTTATTCTATATTTCTATAAAACTACGTTTGTATTACTTCCAATATATATAAAATAAATATAAATAAATTACTAGCTACTAGTACTGAGCATATACATCTTTTTCGTCACGTTAAATATTCATATTGAAATTCGAGTATTACATATTTCATTTTTGAAGTGATATTTTCAATTTTTTTTTTCATTTTAATCGCTCGAGTTTTAATAATTCATCACAAAAATAGCACATATCACTTATTTTAAACAAATAATTTTTTTTTAAAAAAAATCCTTCTTAAATCAAGTATCAAGACAAGAAAACTTATATAAAATGAAACGAAAATATATATAATAAAATATAAATAAACTACTAGCTACTAGTACACTGAGTATATACATCTTTTCCGTCATATTGAATATTCATATTGAAATTCGAGTATTATATAATTCATTTTTAAAGTGATATTTTCAACTTTTTTTTTATTTTAATCGCTCGAGTTTTAATAATTCATCACAAAAATAGCACATATCACTTATTTTAAACAATTAATCATGTATCAAGACAAGAAAACTTATATAAAATGAAATGAAATTATATATATATATATATATAAAATATGTGTTTGGTCCCTGTACAAGGCTACAAGCTGTTGCAAAATTGTCAGTGGCTCAGTGCCTGTAGGTGCAAATGGGCCAATTGACATTGGCCATATCTACACAGATCCATTTCATTTTATGTGATTAGGGTTTATTTAAGTAGATTTTTTTTTTGATAAAGGTAAAATGTTGGCTCTTTAGCACAAGGTGCGAATTGATATTTTTATTTCAGTTACATAAAAATATTAATAATACTTGAATAAGTTATAAGGAAATATAATATTAATTTTATGTAGCAATAATTTATCTTCAAATCAGCTATCAAACATGATATTATTTGTGCAAGATTTTATACCTGCATAACTAATATCATTTCCAGCTAATGAACGATCATGTGGTGATAAGCATCATCTTATAATAAAGGGTCGTTGGATAACTAGTTAAAATTACACAAATATTAGTTATATTGGTGTTGACTTTATACTTCATTTTCGCATAAGATAATATATCAGTGTTCTCATAAACTTATACATATACTTTCTTCATTTCAAATTAATTGAATTGTTAAGGTGTTCGCATCCTTTAAGAAAAGACATAAATTAGAGATAATTTTTTATTTTTACACTTACTAATTACTATCAAATTTATCATTAAAATAACTAAACATTGGTTAATAATTAATTCCATTACTAACTAATGAGGGGTAAAATTGAAAGAAAATTCTAAAAGTAGTCTTGAAAACTGAAAACTAAGTTAATTAAAAAAAATATCTCAACAATTCAATTAATCTGTACGTGAATTACTAAATTATAAATAAAAATTATATTAATTTTATACGTTAATAACTCACTTCATAACTAGCTAGCTAACATTATTTAATTTATGCATATCTAATATTATCGAAATAAATTATATGGTTTATTAACCGGGAAATGACTTCTTATAAGCATATACTATATTAAACTAAAAAATATTTTAATATATTTAACATATACTTAATTTAACTTTATTAAAGAATCAAAACAAAAACAAATAAATTAAATACCATGTACGGAGAACAGCGTAGGGGACAACGTGGGGTGTGTTTTTTTCTGGAATTTACAGCTCGTGATGAGATAGAAATATAAAAGCAGGCCAAAAATAAAGGTATTTTGTCATGATATGTCTGTTTAATTTTCTTTTGGACCAACGTGGTTATGGTACATTAATGAAAGTGTTTCACCTTTAATCAGAGAGATTTTGGATTTATGAAAAAAATAGCACCACCCTGAATGAGCTCTATCATATATAATTCAAATTTAATCGAATCTCTAATATAGACTTCGAACACACCAAGCGAGAAAAAAAAATCTTTTGGTGGGGGAGTTTTGTTCATAGCCTTGAGAAATCTTTGCCATGTTGGCTGTCTATGAGTTGTTTAAACTAAATTAAATAATTTTTTAAAAACCCCTTTTTTCTATTCAATGGACTAACCAAGGCAAAAAAAAGATAAAGTTTTTCACAAACAACATAGTCCCCAGATTTTCTTCTATTAATCTTCTTTGAGTACCAAATCATTTTGCTTTTGTTTTGATTGTGTTTTCTCATAGAAAAAAAGAAAAAAAGATAGATTTTTTTTAATTTAACAAGGAATGGATGGTGTTATTGACTTTGAATCAGATGATTCTGAGTTTGTTGAAGTTGATCCTACTGGAAGATATGGAAGGGTATGGTTGTTGTTTATATTCCAATTGTAATTTCTTGGGAATTGAGCCAATTTTTCTTGGTTTATTCCTAATTTTTTCCTCATCATTTTGAGTTATTTTATTTGTTTTTTGTTTTGTTGAGTTCAGTACAATGAAATTCTTGGTAAAGGGGCCTCAAAGACAGTGTATGTGCCTATCTTTCTTAGTTTGTTTATTGTAAAGATTGAATCTTTTTCCATTTTTGGCATATGGGTATTTGAAGAAACAGGCATTGCATTTACCTAATGTTTTAAGTTTCATTTTTTTTGATCATTTTTGGGTTGATTTTGGATGCAGATATAAGGCTTTTGATGAGTATGAAGGGATTGAAGTAGCATGGAATCAGGTGAAGCTTTATGACTTTATGCAAAGTCCTGAAGATCTTGAGAGGCTGTATTGTGAAATTCATCTGCTTAAGACATTGAAGCATAAAAATATCATGAAGTTTTATACTTCTTGGGTTGATGTTGCTAATAGGAACATCAACTTTGTTACTGAGATGTTCACTTCTGGAACTCTTAGACAGTAAGTACAAATGAAGATCCTTTATCTTGTTCTTCTGTTTAGTTTTTCTAGTGTAGCCAAGTAATGTGTTTCGTTCATAATTGATCATGGTGTATGTCTGTTTTGATGTCTTGTTGTTGTCCGTTCATATTAGTAGTCGTAGTATTGCTCTTTTAGTTTCATGTCCTTTGATTTTGTTATTACCTGTTGTTTGCTTCTGTTATTTCTTTTTGGGACTGCTTTGGATTACTTTTCCTTGAGCCAAGGGTCTTATCGGAAACAGCCTCTCTATCTCTGAGGTAGGGGTAAGGTCTGCCTACACTCTACCCTTACTTGACCACATTTTGTGGGACTACACGGAGTATGTTGTTGTGATGTGGAACTATATGTGAATCTTGGACAGGTATAGGCTAAAACATAAGAAGGTTAATATTCGAGCTGTAAAGCGTTGGTGTAGACAGATCCTGAAAGGGCTACATTACCTGCATAGCCATGATCCTCCAGTTATACATAGAGACCTCAAGTGTGATAACATTTTCATCAACGGGAACCAGGGTGAAGTCAAAATTGGTGATCTTGGCCTTGCAGCTATCCTCCGCAAATCCCATGCTGCACGTTGTGTAGGTAATTCTAATGCTATCATTGTTGATGAAAATCTTGAATAACAATTGGAACTGATCATGTGATAGAAATTAGAAATCTGTTGATGCTTATTCATACTATGGTAATTCTGATACTATCATGTTACACGAAAAACTTGATGAATAATTGAAATTAATGATGTGATTCGAGATATCTTAGTAGTGCAAATTCCATACACTATCCAGCTTAAATTCTTCTGAAAAATTGTTTGCCCGACCAGGAACGCCAGAGTTCATGGCTCCAGAGGTGTATGCGGAGGAGTACAATGAATTAGTTGACATTTATTCATTTGGAATGTGTATTTTAGAAATGGTGACCTTTGAATATCCATATAGCGAGTGCACTCATCCTGCTCAGATCTACAAAAAAGTGACATCTGTAAGAACCAAACATCTTGAAACTTGCCTTAGATTTTGCTCTTTAATGCATATACGTCAAGGTATCAACATAATTTTTTTGGTTCTGTAGGGGAAAAAGCCAGATTCCCTTTACAAAGTCACAGATCCTGAGGTTCGTCGATTTGTTGAGAAATGCTTGGCAACAGTATCTCACAGACTATCTGCGAGGGAGCTTCTCGATGACCCTTTTCTCCAAGTTGATGATTACGTGTCAGACTCAGAGACACCAAATTATTTGCAAGACTCTAATGAATTTGACGTTACCTTAGGGCATCGACCCTCGAGCATATGTGATAACAACTCTCTAGTAAATGGATGTCTTGGTTATCTTGGATATGAACCAGAGGATGATTCGTACTACCATCAACTTGAGTATGAGGCAAATGAAATTGATTTATTCACAGATAACGAAGAGGATGATATGGAAAATGCTGATATCAGCATCAAGGGAAGGAGGAGAGAAGACGATGGCATCTTTTTACGACTCAGGATAGCAGATAAAGAAGGTTTTGCTTTATTATTGCTTCATATATATCAAGTAGTGTTCAGTAGTCTTGCTGTTAACTAAATTGCTGTGCATTTACATTCACAGGCCGTATCCGCAACATTTATTTTCCTTTTGACATTGAGAATGACACAGCACTAACTGTCGCTACTGAAATGGTGGCCGAGTTGGATATTACAGAACAAGATGTTACCAAGATAGCAGACATGATAGATGGTGAGATTGCTTCCTTAGTGCCTGAGTGGAAGAAGGGGTTTGGGAGCGAGGAAAGTCGTGACTACATGAACCGTGGCTGCTGTCACAAATGTGCTTCTAGTGGTTCTCTTGTGAACTACGTATCGTCCAATATTCCAGCACCGGCTAGGAACTTGCAAGTGCTACATTGTACCAAGCATGGATGTGGTGCTATGCATGGCCGTTTTGAGGAGATAACATACCATTTTGATGGCTCTGAACAATGTCTCACTGACCGTGCTCCTGACGGCTCATTGGAATCTGATGGTTTACACTTTACTGATATATGGGCACAAGTTGACAAAACAAAATCACGCCCACGAGGCTCTGGTGACAATCAATCTGATGCTAAAGACAAAACGGTAGATGAATCCACCTATGGTGGTGAGGAGGAAGCTACAAGTGTCGACAAGGATGATAAGTCTCATCCAAGACTACAAGACTCCCCCTCTTCAAATTCTTCAGGAGCTAGAACTCCAGTAGAAGATCATGAGAATGAGATACGACGAGAGTTGAGGTGGCTTAAGGCCAAGTACCAAATGCAACTAAGGGGGCTTAAAGATCAGCAATTAGGAGTTGTCCCAAAATATTCAACTCAAAGGTCCAGCAACAAAATCCCAAGAAATGATAAGGTATCGTCGGATTCAACACCATCAGTAGAACGGGATCAGCTTCTACTACAATCATTTACATCAGGCAAGCACTTTTCCTCAGACTTCCCCATAGAAATCGATAACGGAAGTTCTATTTCTAAGGTTAGAAGATATCCACTTGCATATGGTTCTTGCAGCCCAGAGCACATGGCGACTGCACAGAGTTTCTATACAGGGTCATTGCTTCCCCACTCACTTCACCGGGCTAGTTCTCTTCCTGTTGACGCCATAGATTTCTAAAACTCGCCCCTTTTACATCACTCACTCAATCAGACATTCATCCAGAACCTCAAAGCAACACTGATTGGCAGTTCATCTGCATGATTCATGTACTTTCCACGCAGTTTTTTCGACTTGTAGACTCTTAGCTCCAAGAGTATATTACCTTCTTTTGGAACGATTGAATGTAAATAACCTTGGTAGAGAAATCCTGATCTCACCAAATCAACTTTTTTGCAGTAATCTCAAACAAAGATTATATGCAACAATCATGTATTGATAAGTAAATATACTATTAGATATTATAATAAAACATTTATTTGAGTGCTTCACCATGAATCATAAACTTGTTTGACATGAACAGTTTTCTCTTCCATCTGTTATATTGTTCCAAATTGGTTCAGGGGATGGTCAATCGTCTCCGTCTATGGTATTGTGCAATCTTTCATCTCGGGTTGAGTTAAGCTCAATGTCCATTTTTCTTCTCACATTATAAGACCTTGTTAAACCTCTACATGTGCGAGTAAAGAGCTTTCTACCAAAGATGATTATATTTTCAGGGCTCGAATCTGAGACATCTAATTATGACTACAAGGGTGCTTACCGCCTCATATGTTCCTCAAAAAAACTACTCCTAAAGGTCAAGTTAAAAAGCAATCTTCTTTGTGTCATTTCTTGGAGTTTCAACTCATATACATAATGTGAAAAAAGTACATCTTTTTTTCTAAGATGCCACTTGAACTAGGTTATGTAAAAAGTGACATAAAATAGCATACGCGTACACATTCTTTTGCTATATGTTTCCTTTTTTCCCTACTCAAGTTCTTGATTTCGACCTTCCTATATTTTGGTTAAATCAAATTGTTACATGTGCCAACTAACACTTACCTGCCAGATTAAAAATATCAATGTGGTTTTCTTGAAAAGATAAAACATGTCAATGAAAATTGTCCAAGGGTGTGCTTGGTAATGTTTTCCGATTTTTCTATGTTATGTTGGTCAAAAATTTTGAAAACGTTTTCTCCAGAAAAATAAGCTCCTGAAAAATGAGGAATACAAATATATTCTACAAATGATACTCAACATTGGTTGTATGTGTTGTATCCACCTTCCACCACAACTCATCTCACCCCACTTCCTAGTTCCTTGCCCGAACGTCAGAGGCGGAGTCAAAATTTTCAGTAGGGGGTTCAAAATCTGTAGAAATAGACACATGAGGTAGCTGAAGGAGGTTCGACATCTATTATATATACATATAAAATTATTTTTAACCATATATAAATAATATAATTTTTCACAGAAGGGGGTTTCATACAAGGTGGCTCTGCCCCTGCCTACCGCTACCTTCACCTCTCATAGTATCTTTCTAGAATATAAACAAATACTTTTAGGATAAATTTTTTTTGGAAAATAGTACATAATTGGGTCATAAAACCTAAAATAATTACATGTTCATATCTAAATTCAGGGCAATTCAAGAAATATCATCCTCTCAAAGCCCCCGAAGCCCATATTAATTAAGCAAAATTAGTTAAGGTACATAATGTAATTATTTAATGGGATATGAATGTAAGAGGTATACGTTTGTAGTTATTTTGTTTTTGTAGGGGTCCCATATTTTTTTTTTGCTTAAATATCTAACACAAAAAATAAGTAAAAATATTCACTTATTTTCCTAAAAGTTATTTTTCAAGAAAATATTTTCCTTCCGTCCAACACACCTTAAGTCTTATATAAAATATTTGGAAAGTCTTCATTAACATGAATTTTAAAATATCAATTATTTTAATTTATAATATTTCTTATTTGAGTTTTTAATAGAATATGTTACTTAATGTGTTCAAGAGTTCAACCATTTTTTTTAATGTGTCTCCTAAATATTTTAAATTGATATTTTTTGTGATTTTTAGTAATTTTCAGGTCATTTTCAAATAATATATGTTACTTTTTTAGTCTCATTTTACGAGGAACAATAGAATTTAGAGAGACAACTAAATTTTTGTTAGTAAATAAAGATTGACATTCACATTGGATGTACTAATTGAAGTCAGTAATTGTATCAATTACTACTCCGTCACAATATTCAAAATCTACACGAAAAATACTATGAATTGTAATTTTTTCATATCAATATAATTAAAAAAATACATCATAACATGTTAATTAAAGTTGAATTAAAAAGAAAATCACAACAAATAAAAGTGAACGGAAGAAATATACC